GCTACAATCGTTGCACTAAAGTACCAATTGTGGTGCAATCGTTTGATGGGCTGTATTGCACAAAATGCATGATCGTATCGGCTAGTCTAGTGCGCGTTGCCATTTATTACTTTCATTTCACGTCGCTTATCAGTATTGGCAGTGTTCGTGTGAAGATGAGGATTTGCATAAGTGCTAATTTAAGAGCTGCCGAAAGTGGCGCACTACAAGGCCCGAGTGTCGTATTTGCCACTGCTGCGCGAGGATGCTTCAAAAATTGCTGCAATATTAAAGTAATTCTGTTGTTTTCCATTTTCATCAAAATTTTCATCTCTATAACCTTCGAAAGTGAGATTCAATGTTTTTGTGAAAGTAGAAAGGGATTCTGAGACAAAAGAGTATTTAAATTCAACGAAAACGAAAAATACCTGCACGGTATGGCGGATCTGTTTCTTAGTTCGGATTCTCATTTATGCAGCTGGCACATTTTCCATCGAGTACGATCCTGTGATGCCCGCACCCACACTACTCCATGCATCCGAATAAGTGGATTGGCCCAGTTGCACTCCCAGTATTTTTTTATGAGTACCATTTAACAGTTTGCTTTTGTTTTTCGGATGCCATTTATTTATTAGAAAATTTTAAAATAAACGAGATGACACGCTGCTGGGCTGTAAGCAGCCTTGCGCGACCCAGAATTGCAATTTTGGTTGTGTCTAAAATGCCTGATCGCTCGGAAACACCGGTTTATTCTGTCCGGGCACTCAAATGGCTAGCAAAGCGTTGTATATTAAATATGGCGCGTATGAGCCAAAGACAGCACAAGACTGGGCTTGCCAAATTTTGCTGGGCGTGATTTTTTTTCTGAAGGTTCCAGATTCACAGCTTTGCGATTTTGATGAATTTATCACAACTTAACGCAAGTTAAAGCTTTGAGGTATGATTTGGAACGCGGTAAATACGACTATAATCATTTTGATTATGCGGAGGTGGAAGGCTTCGTGGACGATGAGCAGGAGGTGCTCACTGGTGGTGATCCGGTAGAACTGTTTGAAGGCACTGACCTCGTGCAGGTATGGAATTTTCACATGTTTCAGGATTGAGAAGTTCATTTACCTTGATTGTTGCAACATCCTTCTTTTTTCTTCGTCATTCTTCGAGAAAGCAGTGCTAGACAAATCACATTTCGTTCATGGATTTTGTGATTTTCCAGCTTATTCATTAGAGAGGATATACCAAAAGATAATGCTGTAAGAGTTTTCAAGGGCATCGAACTCCGAGCTCAGAAATATCCCAAGCTACACCAGGTGGTGATCGGTCCTAAGCGACTTACAGTTTGTGCATTGTGACGACTGGCCTAAGCTGCTTGCTTTTCATTTGCGTTTTCGCTGGTTTCAATAAAAATGCGTCTGACGATTTTTGTTTGCAAAATTGAAAATGTCGAATTGTGATCTGCGAAAATGTTGTTGTTTCAGATGCCCGCTCTTTCGGAATCTGTCGGCACGGATTGGGTAGTATTCGAAGGCTTCTTTGTATATGTTTGCCTAATAAGCCTTTCTCACATTGGTATGTTTCCTGCAAGTGCTCGCAACTTTTCTGGAAGTATCGTCCTGTAATCTTCAGTTCTGTATACGAAGAGATTAATGAATATTTGTGAAACAAAAGGGGGATATTGCAGTAACTGATTAAGCAATAGAAAACATCCGCAAGGCTCCTTCGATCACCTTTGTATCGTGGCTGTAAGTAATATTAAAGTTGAAGCATTTTTTAGGCTCTAGTTAATTTTAATGCTGTATGACGAAATTTTGTGCTCTTTTGGCTTATTCGACGCCCTTTTTTACCTATTTTTTATTCACATTCAGCAGCTTTTAAGCTACCTTAAATTCACTGCGTGTGTGTAAGTTTGATGCTGTGACCGTCAATGTGAATGGGTCTCACCAACGTCAAGGCTACTATAGCACTTTTACCGTTTGCTCTAACCTTTTTACATTTTCTAAATTCTTTTTTGCTTCTGACACTTTGCATGTTTATTTTGCTGAACAGGAATGTATGCGACTTAATGGGCCGAAACATTCCTATTCAGATTTTTTAAACCTATTTAGCTTATTCACCTTTCTTTTGTCCCTTTTAACCCTTACTTTTTACATAAATACACTATCTAAAACTAAAATTACTACAGCCGTAATGCGAATGGCCTCATTGATGTTTTTTCAGGAAGTGACTTACCGTATCTGCCCTGTGCTCGTCTTGATGATGATTTCCTGTATTTGACATATGTTGATTGGAAAAATGTCAAGTCACGTTTTGAAGTCGCACGAATGTTGCTTTCAATGGCCGATTGTTCGCATCTCACGTATCCCTTCCTGAAGGTTGTCTGAAATTTTAGTATACGGAGGGAGTAGCGTTTGTTTTATGGTTAGGTAGCAGACTCAGCTTCATTGCTAGGTGATATAATTGAAGGGGAAATAGAGCGAGAATACCATTTGCCCAATACAGCAATTTGATCAATGAAAAGGTGGAAAGTTTCGTCAAAATTATACTACCCTTTTTTTCTATTTCCTTATGTGTGGTACGTTTCCCCCTCCCTGTGACTACTGTGAGGAATTAGTTTTGTTCAGAGTTAGCTTTTTCAGATAGTTCCGGTAAGAGCATGTCGCGTGGAACCGTTGGATGGATGTGGTGGATATATTTCTGTGGATGGTGAGCCAGTAACGTCCGGCTCTGCGTTTCAAGCAGTGCCAACCAGATACTGCGCTACGGTGATTGGACGAAACCAAAGGCCTTAACACGGCGCTTTTATACGTCTGAATGCTATTTTTCGTTTTTTCAAATGGAAAAAGTATAATTTGTCTACATTTCTCGTGTAAGAAGGGGTATATTCACGTAGCAAGTATGAAAATGCCGGCTAGCTTTAGGCGGAAAGACTTGGCTTTGCAGAGCTTTTTGTGTGGCTTTTTTATTATGCGTTTTGTGCTGTGTAACAGCAGTACAAAACGCATACTGTTACGGGGTTGTCTGTGTTTGTGTGTGTGTGTGTGTGTGTGTCCGCAGCAACTTGTCCGCAACTTTCAACTCGGGAATCACTAAAGCTAGGAAGCTGAAAATTTAGGGGAACGTACCCCACCCACGTGTGACCCTGCAAATTTAAATTCAGCTTCCCCGTACTCGCGGGTAACGCGTACGGCCCTGTGAAAGTTTTTTAGGGGTAAGTTAATATCTCGGGAACCATGAAGTCTAGAAGGCTGAAGTTTTACGGTAATGACCCCCTGCCCACCCTCAACCTTGCCCATTCGAATTCAGCCTTC